AGCCCCCCGCTCCCAGCAATGGCCTGGCCCCCGGCTTGGGCAGTACGGCCCTGGTACTGGTCCTTGTGAGCGGCACCTGCCCCACAACCCGTGGTACCTGCCCCTCGGCACGTGGTACCTGCCCCTCAGCCCACGGTACCTGCCTCCCACAGCTGCCTAGCGCCATGTCCAGCCCTGCGGGCTTGGACGCGGGAGGCAACGTAGCTGCTGCTCTCAGGACTGTGAGGGAAGGAACCCCAGAGCAGCGGGGCTGTGCCGGCCTGACCCCCAACGTAGATACGCTGCCAGGTCTGTGGGCAAATGAGTCCTTTGCCCCACCCGCGATGGAAACCCCCTTCCTGTGCAGTGGGAAGCGTCTGCACTCCAGCACTGTGGGACCAGCCACGATGCCCTGGCCCCCACAGTGCCGACGTGGCCATGCGCTCACTCCCGGAGCCCCTCTGGCTGGCTCACAATCCCGACACTGCAGGCCCTGAGCGGGGCAAGGCTCTCTAAGGGCTGGGGCTAGGCAGGGGCCGCCCTACCAACTCCAGTCTGTGACTCTCCTTCCGCCCGGCGCAGAGAGCAGAACTGGGAGGACGGCAGGAGGGGGAGGCAGGGGGCTCCTAGCAGCCCCCGTTCTCTGGTCCGGCAGCTGGGAGCCTGTGCCAGCCTGCACCCCGCATGCCGCCCCGTGCAGCGGAGCCAGGAGCCCGTCCCCGTCCCTGGTGGCTCAGCAGGCTGCTCTGCTGGCTATTTGCAGACGGGGAAGGAAGCGGCTGTGGTGAGACCGTCCTGCCTGCCCTGCTTCCTGCCGCCCCCTTTAGAAATAGCCCGGCCCCAGCCCGCCAGAGACCCCGGTCGCAGGTCCCACAACAATAGGGCCCTGCCCTGGGCTGAGGTGTTGGTGGGCAGGGGGTTCCCACGCCCACTGGCTGGGAAGAGCCGGAGGAGCAACCCCGGGGGACGCTGGGGGAAGCAGCTCAGACGCACTCGCCGCGCCCGCTCCGAGAGGGACTGCCCGGGCTCAGGCCCTGCCAGCTCAGGAGGGGAGGCGCTGGACGGACTCAGAAGATTGTGGTCTGGGACGCTGGTCTTGTCTGCACAGGGACAGCCCCACAAGCTGGGGTTCCCTGCACCTTGCTATGGGGCCAGACCTCCCGTTGTCCCTGGAGCGCGTTAGCTCTGTGGGGCAGGGAGCGTCTCGCACTGGGGGCCTGGGCAGCCGTGGCGCAGTGGGGTGGGAGGCGGCAGCTCCTCGGGGAGCCCAGCACTGGCTAGCCCTGGGGGCCGTGCTCTAGAAGGAAGCTATCGAAGGGTGACGGGCTCGGGAAGAGAGATGCTGGCTCCAGCCTGAAGCAGCTCCGGGGGAGGAGGCTGCCGACAGCAGGGGGCGCTTTCATCTGGCACACGAAGGTCCGACAGCTGAAAGCTGAAACTGGCCAGACTCTGCCTGGAAACACAGGGCACGTTTTAACCAGGGCAGGGGATTAGCCACTTACCCAGGGCGTAGGGAATTCCTTCAGCGCTGAGGTTCTGTGCACGGGACCCTGATGTCAGCTGGATGCTCTACGGGTATGTGAGACCGTGCTGCAGACACAAGTAGGCTGGCAGTGAACTAGGAGCCCTCTCTTCTCCATTCTGGGCCCAGCATGTGAAGTGACTGAGGCTGGGCACAGTTCCACTCACACTGTAGGATTCTGGCAATAAATACTGGAACCGAATGGTGCCCGGGCCCAGGGGCATAGTTAAGGTTATCTGGGCAGCCTTAACACTGGCTCGTCCTGCTGCTGGTTGCGCCCAAGTGGTTTATTTGTGTTGTGCAGGGGTGGCTGAGAAGTAGTGATCACTCTGCTCAGGCCTGGCTCCATTCACACTCCTCAGCTGCCTTGAATGTCCTTTAATATCTCCCTCTTGGGCTGCCCCTGGCCCCACCTGGGCCCAGCCCCACTCTCAGTCTAGACTAGTGCAGGGTGACTCAACTCTGTGCACAGGATGGAGGGGATGGGGGGTTGCCCTGCACTAGAGCCAGCATCCCTCCCCACACAGGTCCCCGAGACCCTGGCGCACCGGCCATGCCAAGGGACTTCGGCTTGGTGAGTTTGTGATCACATGGCCCCATGGCTCCATCAGCTCTGCAGGGCCCCAGGGTCAGAGAACCACACCACAAGGCACCAGGGAAACGCTGCTACCAACCCAAGCTCCCCAGCCCCTGGAGAGCCTGGTGCATCTGTCACGGAGTCCCCGGGCGATGCTCCCCATGAAGCCAGGCAGGACTCTGGGGCAGTCGCCTTCCTGTGAGCAGCCTGACTGCAGGACACACAGCTCACCCGGCTTCCCCCTTCCTGGGTCTGACCTCAGAGCATTCAGCCTCCTCTGCCCCTCCGTGCGCTTCCCACAGCGAGTCCGCCCAGGCAGGGTCCTGGGGAAGCCAGAGGGTCCTGCCCCCCAACTCCGCAGTCAGACGGGACTCTCAGCCAGCCAGTAACACAGAGGTTTATTAGACGACCGGAACATGGTCTAACACAGAGCTTGTAGGTGCAGAGAACCGGACCCCTCAGCTGGGTCCATTTTGGGGGGCCGTGAGCCAGACAATCACGTCTGCCCTTCACTCCATGTCTCCAGCCAGCCCCAAACTGAAACTCCCTCCAGCCCCTCCTCCTCTGGGCTTTGTCCCTTTCCCGGGCCAGGAGGGCACCTGATTCCTTTGTTCTCCAACCCTTTAGCTCTCACCTTGCAGGGGGGAAGGGCCCAGGCCATCAGTTGCCAGGAAACAGGGTGTTGGCCATTCTCTGTCCAGATCCCTGCACACACCTGCCTTCTAGGGCTCTGCAACGATCATACACCCTTATCCCACCCCCCTAGATACTTAAGAATTGCCATGGGGAAACTGAGGCACCCCACACTATTCAGAGGAAACTTTAAGAACAGTCCCACTTCATCACAGGCAGCAACCCCCGGGCTGGGCTCCTTGGCTCCATGTACGCGGGCTGGTGCATGGGACGGGACCGCCCAAGGGTGCAGTCCTCTGTCGCTAGAGGGAGCTGTTACCTGGATTCTCCATGGCACGTGGCCAAGTACCACAGGGCATTGTGATGGACCAGCTGGCATCACATGGCTCTAGCAGGGTACCCCTCAGCTCCCCGCCAGGTCTCACCGTGTGGCTGTTATTGGGGAGACGTCAGCGAGGGAAGCCATCTCGAGCACACCCCCCAGGGCCTGGTTCTCGGTCCGGTGCTGGCTTTGATTGCGTCAGGGATCCAGCCGGGAAAGTCTGCGGGCTGGTGGAGTGGTGACTAACGCGGCGGAGAGGTTGGTGGTCTGCAAGCCCTGGGAACTGGCCACAACCCAACAAACTGCATCTTAATGCAGCCAGATGGAGACACTGCCCCGGGCCCCAGGGGCTGCAGCGCTGCCGGGGACAGCAGCAACAGGCAGGACTTGACCCTCACCCCCACGTGATGCTGCGGCACAAGGGCCAGGCCATCCAGGGGTGAAGAATGGTGTCACGGAGTCCCCGGGCGATGCTCTGGAACTGCTCCCCATGAAGCCAGTCAGGACTCTGGGGCAGTCGCCTTTCTGTGAGCAGCCTGTCTGCAGGACACGCAGCTCACACAGCTTCCAACTTCCTGGGTCTGACCTCGGAGCATTCAGCATCCTCTGCCCCTCCGTGCGCTTCCCACAGCGAGTCCGCTCAGGCGGGGCTCCTGGGGAAGCCAGAGGGTCCTGCACCCCAACTTCGCAGTCAGACGTGACTCTCAGCCAGCCAGTAAAACAGAAGGTTTATTAGACGACAGGAACATGGTCTAAAACAGAGCTTGCAGGTGCAGAGAACGGGACCCCTCAGCTGGGTCCATTTTGGGGGGCAGTGAGCCAGACAACCACGTCTGCACTTCACTCCATGTCCCAGCCAGCCCCAAACTGAAAACCCCCTCCAGCCCCTCCTCCTCTGGGCTTTGTTCCTTTCCCGGGCCAGGTGGTCACCTGATTCCTTTGTTCTCCAACCCTTTAGCTCTCACCTTGCAGGGGGGAAGGGCCCAGGCCATCAGTTGCCAGGAAACAGGGTGTTGGCCATTCTCTGTGTCCAGACTCCTGCACACACATGCCCTCTAAGGCTCTGCAATGATCATACACCCTTACTCCACCCCCTAGATACTTAAGAACTGCCTAGGGGAAACTGAGGCACCCCCACACTATTCAGAGGAAACATTAAGAACAGTCCCACTTCGTCACATCTCTCCCCCCTTCGAGATCGAACTGAGAGGGGTCACTTTAGCCGGTGACCTGGGGAAGTTCGAAGCCACCAACGTTCCCATGGATGCCCCAGCATCTCTCCCATTCCTTGGTAGGAGTTACACCAGGCCCTTCCAGTTTCACGCCCTCCCTTAGGTCAGGGGTGGTCGATAGCACTCGCAGGCCGCATGTGGGAAGGTTTATGCAGCCCATGCCCTTTGGCCACCCCAAGAATGTCTCCCCATTGACCATCACCTTCTGCTCCTACTGGAGGTCCGGGGGGCCTGGCCCCAGGAAACTCCACACAGACATATAGGTTGGGGTCAGGAGTGGGAGCCCGTCCACATCCCCAACCATCTGGCTGACGGAGTCTATGGCCTTGGGGCCCAGCAAGGGAGCTAGAAACCGGGGCTTTTCCGCAGAGTCCCCTTGGTTCAAATCTCCAGCCTGCTCAAAGGCAGTGAGGTGGGCATCCACACCCCCCCCCTTAACCAGGGGCAGCAATTTAGTCTCGAGGTTCCCTGCGGAACTGGCCCCCCGGGATCTATCCCCACTCACCCCGGGGAGGTCCCCTAGGCCTCTCCGCTCCCCCACCGCCAGTTCATGCTGCTGCTGCTTCTGCAGCTCTTTCTCGGGCTCTCGCTGTCTCCCAGGGTCCTCTTGCTCTCTCAGACTCAGCTCCAATCCCGTCCATCTCCGATCCCCCGATGGGGAACCCGATTGTGAAGACCCTCGTCTGGTCGGGGACAGGAGTCTTGGCGATGCCTGGCTCCCGCTCCAGCTGCTCCCAGATCCTGCTATAGCCCCAGTTGGGGTCAGGAATCTGTCCCTTAGAGCGGTCATCCTCCTCCAGCTGCACGATGAACTCTGCTTTGGTGAACTTTCCAATGCGCAACCCTCTCTTTCTGCACAGGGTTACAATGTCCTTCTTAAGGAGACGGTGACAGGCCATCACTCCGCTCCTCCCAAGTTGTTGTGGACTCACAGGCCCGTGTGCTCTCAGCTCCCCACGGTTTCCAGGGAGAACCCCTAGTGTGCCAGCCCTTCTCGAGGTCACCACCTCTTTGCCAGGGTCGAGCTGCAGACTCCTCCGCCCCTTGGACTGCTCGCTGCAATCCCCAGGGGAACCCTGTTACTGCACAGTCCTTCTCGCTGGTCACACACTCCCAGGGGTTAACCGCCCCCCGAAACCGCTCCTCTCTGAGCCTTCAGCAGGCCTGGTCCTCGGCAATCCCCCTTCGTGTTACTGCTCCCCAGTCACTTACTGCAGGAAGCACCATCCACGGGGTGCAGTACATCCCACCGCTGCCACCAGTTGTCACGGAGTCCCTGGGCGATGATCTGGAACTGCTCCCCATGAAGCCAGTCAGGACTCTGGGGCAGTCGCCTTTCTGTGAGCAGCCTGTCTTCAGGACACACAGCTCACCCGGCTTCCACCTTCCTGGGTCTGACCTCGGAGCATTCAGCATCCTCTGCCCCTCCGTGCGCTTCCCACAGCGAGTCCGCTCAGGCGGGGCTCCTGGGGAAGCCAGAGGGTCCTGCACCCCAACTTCGCAGTCAGACGTGACTCTCAGCCAGCCAGTAAAACAGAAGGTTTATTAGACGACAGGAACATGGTCTAAAACAGAGCTTGCAGGTGCAGAGAACGGGACCCCTCAGCTGGGTCCATTTTGGGGGGCAGTGAGCCAGACAACCACGTCTGCACTTCACTCCATGTCCCAGCCAGCCCCAAACTGAAACTCCCTCCAGCCCCTCCTCCTCTGGGCTTTGTTCCTTTCCCGGGCCAGGTGGTCACCTGATTCCTTTGTTCTCCAACCCTTCAGCTCTCACCTTCCAGAGGGGAAGGGCCCAGGTCATCAGTTGCCAGGAAACAGGGTGTCGGCCATTCTCTGTGTCCAGACCCCTGCACACACCTGCCCTCTAGGGCTCTGCAATGATCATACACCCTTACTCCACCCCCTAGATACTTAAGAACTGCCTAGGGGAAACTGAGGCACCCCCACACTATTCAGAGGAAACATTAAGAACAGTCCCACTTCGTCACATCTCTCCCCCCTTCGAGATCGAACTGAGAGGGGTCACTTTAGCCGGTGACCTGGGGAAGTTCGAAGCCACCAACGTTCCCATGGATGCCCCAGCATCTCTCCCATTCCTTGGTAGGAGTTACACCAGGCCCTTCCAGTTTCACGCCCTCCCTTAGGTCAGGGGTGGTCGATAGCACTCGCAGGCCGCATGTGGGAAGGTTTATGCAGCCCATGCCCTTTGGCCACCCCAAGAATGTCTCCCCATTGACCATCACCTTCTGCTCCTACTGGAGGTCCGGGGGGCCTGGCCCCAGGAAACTCCACACAGACATATAGGTTGGGGTCAGGAGTGGGAGCCCGTCCACATCCCCAACCATCTGGCTGACGGAGTCTATGGCCTTGGGGCCCAGCAAGGGAGCTAGAAACCGGGGCTTTTCCGCAGAGTCCCCTTGGTTCAAATCTCCAGCCTGCTCAAAGGCAGTGAGGTGGGCATCCACACCCCCCCCCTTAACCAGGGGCAGCAATTTAGTCTCGAGGTTCCCTGCGGAACTGGCCCCCCGGGATCTATCCCCACTCACCCCGGGGAGGTCCCCTAGGCCTCTCCGCTCCCCCACCGCCAGTTCATGCTGCTGCTGCTTCTGCAGCTCTTTCTCGGGCTCTCACTGTCTCCCACAGTCCTCTTGCTCTCTCAGACTCAGCTCCAATCCCGTCCGTCTCGATCCCCTGATGGGGAACCCGATCGTGAAGACCCTCGTCTGGTCGGGGACAGGAGTCTTGGCGATGCCTGGCTCCCGCTTCAGCTGCTCCCAGATCCTGCTATAGCCCCAGTTGGGGTCAGGAATCTGTTCCTTAGAGCAGTCATCCTCCTCCAGCTGCACGATTAACTCTGCTTTGGTGAACTTTCCAACGCTCAACCCTCTCTTTTTGCACAGGGTTACAATGTCCTTCTTAAGGAGACGGTGACAGGCCATCACTCCGCTCCTCCCAAGTTGTTGTGGACTCACAGGCCTGTGTGCTCTCAGCTCCCCACGGTTTCCAGGGAGAACCCCTAGTGTGACAGCCCTTCTCGAGGTCACCACCTCTTTGCCAGGGTCGAGCTGCAGACTCCTCCGCCCCTTGGACTGCTCGCTGCAATCCCCAGGGGAACCCTGTTACTGCACAGTCCTTCTCGCTGGTCACACACTCCCAGGGGTTAACCGCCCCCCGAAACCGCTCCTCTCTGAGCCTTCAGCAGGCCTGGTCCTCGGCAATCCCCCTTCGTGTTACTGCTCCCCAGTCACTTACTGCAGGAAGCACCATCCACGGGGTGCAGTACATCCCACCGCTGCCACCAGTTGTCACGGAGTCCCCGGGCGATGCTCTGGAACTGCTCCCCATGAAGCCAGTCAGGACTCTGGGGCAGTCGCCTTTCTGTGAGCAGCCTGTCTGCAGGACACGCAGCTCACACAGCTTCCACCTTCCTGGGTCTGACCTCGGAGCATTCAGCATCCTCTGCCCCTCCGTGCGCTTCCCACAGCGAGTCCGCTCAGGCGGGGCTCCTGGGGAAGCCAGAGGGTCCTGCACCCCAACTTCGCAGTCAGACGTGACTCTCAGCCAGCCAGTAAAACAGAAGGTTTATTAGACGACAGGAACATGGTCTAAAACAGAGCTTGCAGGTGCAGAGAACGGGACCCCTCAGCTGGGTCCATTTTGGGGGGCAGTGAGCCAGACAACCACGTCTGCACTTCACTCCATGTCCCAGCCAGCCCCAAACTGAAAACCCCCTCCAGCCCCTCCTCCTCTGGGCTTTGTTCCTTTCCCGGGCCAGGTGGTCACCTGATTCCTTTGTTCTCCAACCCTTCAGCTCTCACCTTGCAGGGGGGGGAAGGGCCCAGGCCATCAGTTGCCAGGAAACAGGGTGTTGGCCATTCTCTGTGTCCAGACTCCTGCACACACATGCCCTCTAGGGCTCTGCAATGATCATACACCCTTACTCCACCCCCTAGATACTTAAGAACTGCCTAGGGGAAACTGAGGCACCCCCACACTATTCAGAGGAAACATTAAGAACAGTCCCACTTCGTCACAAATGGGAAGGGAGAGGAGGGAGCGTGCCCCCCCCCACAGCTACTAGCCTAGTGGGAATGGAGCAGCCTGTGCCCTTGGCTCCCAGCTTCTGTTTCTATCACCCTCCCAGAAGGCCTGTGCTAGCCACATGGCCAGCCTGCCACAGGTCTCTCCACCTGGGAGCAGCTGGACCCATCACCCCTTAAAGAGCCAGGGAGATACAGGGTGCAGGGGGACATGGGGGCACTGTATGAGGGGGATATGGGGTGCAGGGGGACATGGGGGTGCTGTGTGAGGGGGATATGGGGTGCAGAGAGACATGGGGTGCAGGGGGACATGGGGGTGCTGTGTGAGGGGGATATGGGGTGCAGAGAGACATGGGGTGCAGGGGGACATGGGGGTACTGTATGAGGGGGATATGGGGTGCAGGGGGACATGTGGGTACTGTGTGAGGGGGATATGGGGTGCAGAGAGACAGGGGGTACAGGGGGACATGGGGGTACTATATGGGGGGATACAGGGTGCAGGGGGACATGGCAGATGTAGGGGATACTGGGTGCAGGGGGACATGGGGTCCAGGGGGGTTACATGAGATATGCACGAAATGGGGTTCAGGGAGATACAGGTACTATTAGAACTACAGGGGCACATGGGGTTCAGGGGACATGGGGGTACTGTGTGAGGGGGATATGGGGTGCAGAGAGACATGGGGTTCAGGGGGACATGGGGGTACTGTGTGAGGGGGATATGGGGTGCAGAGAGACATGGGGTTCAGGGGGACATAGGGATACTGTGTGAGGGGGATATGGGGTGCAGAGGGATATGGGGTTCAGGGGGACATAGGGATACTGTGTGAGGGAGATATGGGGAATACAGGGGTGCAAGGAAATATGGGGAGATATGGGGTGCAGGGGGATAGAGGGCAATGGGGTGGTTGGGGCTGGGGTGCAGGGGGCTATGGGGGCTATGGGATGCAGAGGGATACGGAGTGGTATGAGGGATATGGGGTGCAATGGGAGATATGTAGTGATATGGGTATGGGGTGCTATAGCGGATAGGGGGTGATGGGGTGAGTAGGGGGATGGGCTGCAGGGAGCTGTGGGGATGGGGGGAAAGGGGGTTATGGGGATGGGGGGTGCAGGGGGATAGGGGAGATATGAGTGATATGGGGAGATATGGGGGATAGGACGTGCAGGGGGATACAAAGTGGTATAAGGATACAGGATGCTAAGGAGGATATAGGGGGCTGGGGGCGCTATGGGGATAGGGGGTGCAGGGGATGGGGGGATATGGGGAGAGCTTTTCTCTGGGTAAGCCCGTCAGTGGAGGTTGCCCCTGAGTGTTTGTGGGGGAGGGGATGCTGGGGGACATGAGGGAGCTCGAGTCACCCAGCTGGGGGGAGACGTCCCCCTGCCATTCACTATCGGGGGGGTGGACAGACCCTCAGCCCCACCCAGGGACCTTAATCTGGGCCACTCCATGGTGCGGACGAAGCTAAGCAAGGCTCAGGACTCCAATTCCTCCTGCCCTGGAGCTGCCTTGGGTGGGGCAGAGCTCTTGGCTGCCCCATGGGTACTGTGCAGGGGGGTCAGGGTTTGCCCTGGTGCCCCCTAGCTGCTGCCCTCCAGCCCAGAGGGGGCTGCATCCCTGGGGTGCATGGCTGGCAGTGGGCGAGCACCGTGACGCCAGGGCAGGGCAGAGGGACCCCCACAAGCTGCTGGGAGTCCCGCCCCCCCTTACACGCCTGCCCTGTAGCTCCCATGCCAAGGTCAATGGTCCCTCCCCCTTGGCGGGAGGTGTGGAGGGGGGAGGGGAGCTGCCCTGTTTGCTCACAGCCAGCGCCTTTGAAATGCAAATCCCACCACCCCATTTGGCTGGGAGTTTGGCCCTGGCCCATTTGGAGGCTGCACTGCGGGAGGGGGGCAGAGGGGCCCTTTTTCTGTGGGAAACCCGGCTGGATTCCCGCTGTCTGTTGGCTGGAGAGGGACAATCCTGCCCCTCTGCCTGTCCCCTGGGCTCCCCGCAGTCACTGGAGCTGGGACTCCCAGCCCTTCCCAGCCAGATCCACCCCTGTCCCCAGCAAGATCTTCCCCTGCTTCGGCCTGCCCTGGGCTCTGCCAGGTTGGCCCTATGGGCACGGTCCTGGTCACAAACCAGAGGGTGCCCCCTGCTGGCTCAGCCATGCTTGTCTGTGTGCCATAGGCCCTGCGCTGCCAGAGGACCTGGCCCCAGGCCCCTCTGGGGACGGCCTGTTTGCTGCCCCCCCGGCTGAGCTGAAATAATAATCACAGGAAACAAGTGCAGTTGTTCATTTCTTCTTCCCCGGGGACCCTTCTGAGCAATTAGCTCCCAGCCCTGCAGCCCCCCGGCCTGCCTCCGCTG